TCATGTTGCTGCTGATCTGTTTCAATGTTGATGTGTTCATGCGTGCACATCTGCTCACAGACTCATGTTCATGTTTGTGCTGACGTTCAATGTTTTATGTTATGAGTGCTTAGTGTATATTTAGTTGATGTTTTTCTTAGTTCATATCTTAGATGTTATTACTGTTTTTCTTAGACATTTTATTGTTGGATGTAACTGGGACCCCGTGTACATAATTTCGCTCCACCACATGTACCACATGAGGTGCGAATGACAATAAAGAAACTCTGATGATGGTATTTTAGAGGTTTGACCAAACTTTGTCATTTCTCATCAGAAGACAATCTTTTAATGAATGCTTGGCCTAAATTAATTTGTTCTAAAATGTAAAAAAAAAAAACTTGCAGTTGTAAATTCTCCAAACTTAAATTCTGTATTAGAAGGAGGTAACAAACCAGACTGTAATCAAACTGTAAATCTTGAGTTCAGTCACTAATCCTAGGATGTTCAACTGCTCGTTACTAGGCAACAGGCTCTGAATCCATGCAGGAAGTTGACCAACACCATCAAACCATTGAATGTCCAGAGGACCAGATTGAACTTTTTTGGATTTTTCTACCTGGATTATTGAGCATGTATCAGGACATCAAACCATTCTCCGATCAAAACCGAGTGTGAAACTGACCCGTCGTGAAGAGGTGTTTGATGGGAACAATGCCAGTCGCAGGCGAGGACTTAGCTCTTCCCAGCGGCCTGTGGGTCAATGAGGACTGGAACAAGCCTAGCTGCTGCAAAGATTGCTGGGAAGGAGAAAAAGAGACAGGCAGAGCGACAGGCAGAGAGAGAGAGACAATGTTATGATTCACTGTAAGCTGGTGAAGATTCTGATTCATCCAGGACATGATAAATTCAAAAAATGTTCAATACAAAAACAACTGGACTTTATTTGTAACAAGGCGTTTCGCTCCTCATCTGAGGAGCTTTCTCAATTCAATGAGCAGAGAGTGAGGGGTTCAGGTTATAAGGCTGAGTGAGATAAGACACACGTACATATGTAGATTTGACAATTCACACCTCAACACCTTAACAGTAGGGGTTTCTTCAGGTCTTTGTTACTCTAATACACAAGACTCACTGTAAGATGATTCAAATAGCAGCCTGGTCATTACTGAGAATGAAGATATGTGTCCAAAACCAGAGCAAACACACATGGCTCTAAACCTGAACCGTTTCATTCATAAAACTGTGCAGTGAAACACAGCTGATTAAACAAACTGAAACTGACTGAGAGACTGCTGCTGTTACCTCATGACTGAGCTCATCTACCCCACCCCCCGCCCTGCAGTTCTTAGACACATAAACATGTTGTGAAGTGATTATATACAGAGGGCTGTGCTGCTCGCTATCATCTGGTGACTCATCAGGCATGAGTGGACAGACGGATGGAGGCATGGACTAGAGGATGACATTTTTTCGGGAGTACTGCCGGTCACGTGAATCCGGCCGGATTCCGGCGGGACCGGAGTCAACTTTATTATAACTCCCGTTATCGGGACCGGACAGGACGAAAACTTAACGGGAGCAGACGGGAGCGGGAGCCAACATAGGACAAAAAAAGAAATAGGCAAAAAAAAAAAAAAAAAATTTCAGACAGGCGGCTGCACCAACAGCTTCCGGCGCCTTTTCCAACCTTTGTTTACTGTATCAACCAACATCATGGAGGGAGCATACGCCAGCGGAGAAACCGAGAGGGTAAAAAATATTTTGCAACGCAAAGTTAGGAATAATGACGCATCTGTTAGGTTAACAGAACTGTCAGGGAAGGCGCTAATAGTTCAGAACTTTATGAGAGTCGAGTGTGACGGTGTGAAGACGCTCTACGCTGCTTGCAAAACATGCTCAGTTATAATAAAGTACGTCACTGACTCGGGGACGAGCGGTCTGAAGAGGCACACTTGCAAGGCTAATTTCGGAACGAATCAGCCAAGCATTTCTTCATTCATTAAACGAAAAGTACCGTCGGGAGTCAAGTCTCGTATGACCAACAAAATAGCCCGCATGTGCGGCGTAGATTTGAGACCATTTGCTGTAGTAGATGGGAAAGGTTTCATCGACGTCATACAGGAGGCAATCGACATTGGAGCAAAGTATGGAAACAACGCTGAGGCACAAGACATACTGCCATGTGGACGCACGGTCTCCCGTCATGTTCAAGGAGAATATGATAAAATTTAAAAAATGGTCATAGAAGAGCTCCATCAGGTATGTCTGTCACGCTGCACTATTTTATAATACAGTACACACATTTTACCTTGACATCATGCAGTAGTCTAATTATAGATTTCCTAACACTAAATCTGTTTTTTCTCCTCCTTTTAAACTGCTTAATCTCTCAACTATAAATTAGTCATCTGTTTTACATGTAATATACTTTGAGAGCTAATAACAATATACGTAATTCCTTTGGTGCAGACTAGAGACCATGCAATCACGACAGACCTTTGGACAGAGGAAAGGACAAACACACACTACATCACCGTTACAGTCCATTACATCTTGGATGGGAAGATGGTGAACCGTATTCTGGCCACAAGGGAGATGGAGGTGGAACACCAGACTTGCAATGCTCCAGTCAATAAATGATGCTCTCAAGTCTGGTAAGCTGCACGACATCCTGCTTCGCAGAAGCGAGCTCCGTTACCTCACCAACATAGACTGTGACCTTCTTGAGGACGTCATCCAGCTCCTGAAACCTTTTGATGAGGCTACCAGGCACCTCTCCATCCATCAGGCACCTACTCTTCACCTCGTCCTCCCAACCAAGGCAACCCTGCTGCAGGGTTTGTTGATCCAGGATGGAGATAGTGCAATTGTGAAAGAGGTAATTTAATACTTTGTTTATTTGTATTGTTTAGTTTGATCATTCAAGTAGCTAACAGGAGTTTGGCCCTATTCAGTAACAGTGATAAAGGCAAGAACAGAACTGAGTCTGATGTTTTCCAAAAGAAACATTGTACAAGTTAAATTTGAAATAAATTTAAAACTCCTCCACGCCTATAATAAAGCACAGTGCCTGTCCGCCTGAGAATTTTTTATGTCCCGTAATAATGATGTTGCATACATCATTATCATATCACTGCATGTGTCATCATGTGGTTTCACTCCTCCTCTAGCTGAAAGAGAAGTTGGCCCAGGCAGTGGAGATGAAATTCAAAATCCACCTGTACCATAAGCTAGCCACAGCTCTCTCTCCTAGCCTGAGGAGTTTCTTGAGGAAAACGCTCTCCGGTCAGGAGTATGAGGAGGTCATCAACACCCTGGCAGCACTCACAGAAACAGCAGGGACAGAGGAGAGAGCGAGAAGCCTTGAGAAGAAACAGGGTGAGTAAAACTAGCATCAACAGAGCACTCACAGCAATTCTAAAATGTAATAACAACATTTCTTCCTATCATTTATTTAGAGGCATTCATTCACACACACGTCTGTATAATCTAATAGGTAATGTCCAATACAGGTAATGTTCTATAAGAATCTCTTTTTTTTTTTCTCTCCAAAGGTCCACCCTGAGAGGCAGTTCCCAGTCCCACAGAGGTGCACGACTTCTTTTCCTTTTGTGTTGAAAAGCAGCAACAGGAGTGGGACAGTGGTGGTATTTCAGAGTCATGGGGCCGCCAGTTCGTGGTACAGTACATGAGTGACTCTAAGTTGACAGGCTTCCAGTCTCTGCTCAACTTCTGGCATGAGAGGTCTGATGGGCTAGTGCCAGTTGCCAAGAGGCTGCTAGCAATCCCAGCAACAAGCACTCCTTCTGAGCGTAGCTTCAGTGTTGCTGGGAGACTGATTGAGGAGAGGCGTTCCACCCTCAATCCAGAAAATGTAGATGAACTTTTGTTAGCAATTTATAATGACAACTATTCATATGTGCTGAAGAGTGGGAAAGTAGACTGATATGCACGGTGGCTGACAGACACACAGCAAACAGTTAAAACGTGCTGCAAACACAGGAATGAATCAAATTCCAAAACAAAAAAACAAATGCAACAGAAACAAAAATCTGCAGTCACAGAAAATAGATGACACACAATAAAAAAAAAACAAATGCAAAGGAAAAATGCTTCAAATACAAATAACACCAAAACAACTGCTGGTCTGGTCAACAGAACCCTGCAAACACATTACAGCTGAGTGGCAACTGGCCCCAAATTGGCTTATTTTATGAGTTTAATGTGCACTGAGTAGAGTACTTTTCAGCATTTTCCTTTGCATTCGTTTTTTGGGTTGTATGTTTTATTTTCTGTAATTGCAGGTTTTTTTCTTTCGCTGCATTTTTCTGTTGCATTTGTTTTGTTTTTGTTGTTGTTTTAGAGTTTGCATCATTTATGCGTTTGCAATGCTTTTTAACTGTTAGCTGTGTGTGCAGTAGCTGACTGTTTGCAGCATGTTAGCAGTTTGCACCTGCTGACCACTGTAGTATTACTGTGTGTGTAGTTGTTTGCAGCACATTTGCACCAGTCAACCACCATATATATATGGCAGTTGTATTTTTATTTAGTATTTGCATTATATGCACATTTATTTTCCTTTTTCAAAAACTCAGGTACAATATGAATGTAATGCCTTTATGCAGTTTTGTTCATTGATGACAGTTTGTTTGGTGCAATTTTTTTGTTTAGTTTTTTATTTAAGCAATTTAAACCATGACAGGAACGTTACTGTCTAAAGGGAAGGAAACAATTGCTCAATAAATTAGTAAAAAGCAACTTCTGTTTGTTCTGTTTGGGTTCTTTCATCTAAGGTAGACATGGTGTGACCCATGTACTGGTTTTCATTTTTTGTTTTTACTGTAACTGACCTTCAAAAAAGCCAGAAACAGACTCAGCAGCTGATCCTCTGTAGAAAAACTATAAGGACTACAGGCCATGGATTTGTTTTGTGACCTTTAGTGAAGGTTTTTGTTTGAATTAAGGCAATAAATGCCTCCATATTTCACCACAGATTAACTCTTCCTGCCATATCTTTTGAAATCAAACTGCAGAACACAAAGTAATTTAAAAAGGAATGGTTAGAAAATCAATTCAAATTCAATGCATTTCTTAAAAATTAAATGAAGAGGAAAAAAAAACAGGAGCAGGACAGGAGTGGGAGTGATTCTGACCAGGAGCAGGACAGGAGCAGGAGTCATGTTACCAGGAGCAGGACAGGACAGGATTAATTTTTTTACTCTGGACCAGGATTGGGACAGGACAGGATTTTTTTCTGTTGGACCAGGACAGGACAGGAGTGAAAATCTACTCCTGTGTCATCCTCTAGTGTAAAGACGCTCTTATCTGCTGTGCTGTATTGCTCAATGTATCACAACTGTATCTTGTCCTTTATCTCTATCTGCTTGGCTTCTGGATCTGCTTGCCTTTTGGTATCAACAAGTACAGATTGAACTAAGTCAGAGAATGTATTTAAGTTTTTTGTGTATGGGACATGAACTAACAGAGAGCTGCTGGTGTGTGTCCCACCTGCTGACAAGATCACTAGCAAACTGGACTGGCAGAAGAAAATAATAAAACAACTCCATAAAAGGACTTCCAGAAAGTGAAGACATCAGTTTGAACTAGTTTAGACAAAGAACTGTAAGAATGTTGTGACACGTTTCTGGGTGGAGCTTTTGCGTTTAAATACAGAAGAACCTGAAAGCTCCGGTCAGACGCGTCTTGGGTATTTGTTGTATCTCTGTTGCTTTGGAGTAAGAGCGTCTCCTTTCAGTTGAAAGCTTTAATAAATGTTGGTAATACTTTTTAACTTGAA